AAGCTATAAAGGACGATTGCGAATCTGATCTTCAAGATCAATACCAGCTCTTAACGCAGCTTTGGAATCACTTGAATACTCTTACAAAACCTGCTGATATAACAGTGGTTAAATCCATGAAAAATCCTCCAGCAGGTGTTAAACTTGTTATGGAAGCCATTTGTGTAATGAAGGGAGTCAAACCTGAGAAAAAGCCAGAACCAGGTGCCATTATAAATATTTTTTTAAATATCTGTATGTAACATTTTTCTTTGTTGTGAAGAAAATTCTATAAATCGTTTCGAATAGGTACTGGTAAAATGATTGAGGATTATTGGGGACCATCACTAAAAATTTTGAGTGATATGAAATTTTAGAAAGTTTGAAAACTTTTAATAAAGACAATATACCCGAAGCGACAATGAAGCGCATCAGACAAAAGTAAGTACATTATTATATTTAAATTCAATCGTGAATACATTAATTCTATCGTCGTAAACAATCAAGATTCATTCCCGATCGAGATTTTGAACCTGATGTGATAAAGAATATTTCTACCGCTTGTGAAGGATTGTGCAATGGGTGCGAGCTATGGATGTCTATGATCGTGTTATTAAAATTGTAGCACCAAAAAAGGTGAATAGAAAACATCATGGGTCCTTTCATTGAAAAATAGTAGCCATTTTTCGCATAACAACTTTTTTTTTTTGTTATATACAGGCCGCACTGGCTGAGGCAGAAGCTTTGCTGGCTGCGCAAATGGAAGTGTTAACTCAAAAAAGGGCACAATTACAAACTGTAATGGATAAATTGCAAGCTTTGAATGACGAATTTGCAGAGTTTTCCAAGAAGAAAAAAGAATTAGAAGATCAAATTGACATATGCGAAAAGAAATTGGACAGGTTTTTAAATTATTAAATTATTCTTGTTAAATATTAATAATATTGGTTTCCGTAATACATACTGTTGCATTTATCCGTTAAAACATAGCATTCACATTAAAATTATAATTATATCATTTATGTGGAAAAGTATGTGAATATGAGGAGTATATTATCAAATCTAAACAATAGCTGATCTAAATAACAATTTCAGAGCTGAAAAGTTAATTGGTGGCTTAGGGGGCGAAAAAGCGAGATGGAGTAATACAGCAGACACACTAAATAGCTCTCTTGGAAATATAGTTGGAGATGTTTTACTAGCTGCAGGTGCTGTGGCCTACTTTGGACCTTTCCTGTTAATACAAGATCGAGATTGGTTAGGATGTGGAATGATAAATGTTTAAATCTTCGTAAGTTATTGATGAAAATGTTATTGATATTTCGAATGAAATATTACGCATAATTTTGCCGTTATAAATTTATAATATATGGGTTGCCTCTTCTTCAGAAACTCTGAATATTGAAACCAATTTCTTCACTCTCACCAAAAAACAAATTGCACCTTCACCAATGAAAAAGTCGTGTTATTTCTATAATATAAAACATAATTCTATCTCATAAATCTGAGAATGATTGGATCTTGAGGATTAATTAGATTCATATTATTTTTTCTAATTAGGGATTCCCTGCTCTGAAATCTTTACATTATGGAATACCTTAGGCGAAGCAGCTGCTGCTAGAGCCTGGGGATTAGCAGGTCTACCTGTTGATGCATTTTCTATAGACAACGGAATAATTGTTACTCACGCTAAAAGATGGCCTTTGATGATTGATCCACAAGGTATTGAGATGCGATTCAAATTAGATTCAATTTCAAATTAGATCATGCCATATCAAAAATTTGGAGAAAGATAATTGAAATCCAACAATTGTGCATGATACTGTCTAGCTTGTGACTTATCATATTATGTTTAATTTTAACACTTTGTTGACCGGTCACAAGTTAACTCGTGTTCTTATGGCCGAATGTTGCTGATCAAATCACGAATAAACTCGTAACTCGCTTTTTTGTCGCACCGCTGTTGTTTTCTCAATTGGCGACCGTACAATGCAGTTGCCAAAGCGGGTCCCAAATTTTTGGTGTAATATAGAAATAGCCGGTAACAAAGTGTTAATATTGGGTTGGGGAAAAGAAATCCATTATTTTTACGTGAACTTCAAGATTTTATTTAACATGTTTTGCTTTGTCCGATTTAGGTCAAATATCACCATTTTGTTCTATAATTTGTTGCCATTTTAATGGTAGCTTCATTATGCCTCTCTCATAAAAGTCTTGTTGCTTGTTAGCGAAAAACTCCAGCAATTGATTTTCACACTCTTCCCTTGATGCCAATTTCTTATCACTAAAAAAGTTTTGCAATGCAAGAAGCTCCATTAAATGGCAACAATTATAGAACAAAATGGTGCATATTTGACCTAAATCGACAATGCAAAACATGTTAATAAAGTCTGAAGTTCACGTAAAATAATGATTTCTTTTTCCCCACCCAATATGTTTTGCAAGCTAGTTAATTTATCTCATTCTAAGTTTTTCTATATTGTCACGAATCCCTTTTTATTTATTGTGAAACCCTTTTATTTATTATTTATTACCCTTGATTCATGCCCTAATTTACTATTGTTGTTACATTCGCGGTCTTTCTACACCCTTACCGTGACGTCGCGATCCTGTAAGAAACTGATTACTTTAAACTACTAATGAAAAGGCGTTTGTTCGTTACTTAATTAACAAACCTATATTTAAACATAACAATCCCTTAATCTAAAACATTTTTATTCTAACATGCAACTTATTCTAGACTTATCTTTAACCACGGCGCAACCAGTGTCCATCACATGTCCATACATCGGGCCCGATTCACATAAATCACTTAACCATCACCTTTAGGTATTTTCACTAAGTCTACTTTCTGTTTGGGGACAGTCTCCGAACGCTGTCCCCCCATGATGTCCTCTAATCTCACATTCAATACATTTTATTAACACTTTCGTGCGCTGGACCGCACGTTTGTCGACACTGAGGCCACGCCGGCAACTCTCAACCCCGACAACGACTACCTCAAGACTACGACTATTTCTAGACTACTAAATGCAGACAAACTCTCAGCCCTCGACACACTCCTCATCAGGGACATGGTGTTTTTATGCATAGGGAGAGGGGTAGTTGGTGTTATTTTATAACTGTGTGTGGGTCCTCCCCACACATTCGTAACACTACCCCACCTCCTCTAAAGATCGCCCTCGATCTTTCAAAACTCCATCCCTGGTGCCGCACCAGCTTTCTTGCTCCGGAACTTAGGTGGCGCACTCCAATGTCTGCCTGCTCCCCGATAACACATCGATGGCGCATTCCCACTTGTCCGATCTGCTGTTTGCTCTCCTCCCGTAGGCTGACTTTTGCTCAATCCGGCATGTCATCTGCATAGGCGTCGACCCCTAGCACCCTGATACACAATTCGGGTCGCGATGTTTCAGTAATGTAGTTGTACACGCGTTCAATTTTTTCTTGCACTGTTACACAAAATTACTTCACAACAGATTTCAACCAAAAGTAAGATTACATTAACAGTTTAGTGTATTTGTCCAAAAAGTGTCATAACAAACAAAAAAAACATCACTTAGTCCACTTTACTTATTCACTGTTTGTTAAAACTTTGATCTAACCTTATTGCTTTTATTACTACCTACATAAACTACATTCAAATATAATAACAAAATCGATCAAAGTTAATTAAACATATCAAATTTAATGAAAAAAAAAAAATATTCGAACTTATCAAGTATTAAAAATTATCAAACATTATAAAAGTAAATAACATAAAAACACTCAGAAAATGAACATAAACTTATCTACACTTAGCACTTACTTCTATAAAATTTAAAAAAATAACACTATCTCATAATATTTTTATCAACAGCTTTTTAATCTATTCTAACAATAGATTCTAAAACTTAAAATAATGACATTATAACTACAACAAATTTACATTTAACATAACATTTGACTTGAGTAAAACATAAACGCATTTGTTTCTTTATCAACCTAAACCTAGTTACATACTTATTAACGACAATGTTTACTTAACAATGTAAAAACACAAAACACACAAAAAAAGAAAAGCATTGCAAGAGTAAGACTAAGAGCGAGAATAAGAACAATAAAGTCAAATTGAACATAAGTAATTAAAATACTCTACATATTATTTTAAAATTCGGGAATTGCTGACTGTTTTGAATTTGGCGGTCCCATCTCTATTAACGTACAACGCAAACATAAACGTAATTTACTTTTACCCTAGTCTAACTATTTCTATTACTATTAAACCGTGTACAGCAAGTGCGCTTCTCAATATAAAAACAAGAAGTGAGTCGTCGGAATGCTTGTTTCCCCGGTGTTCCTAGGCTCCAAACGGTGCTAGATGCCCATAGCACCTTGCCTATCCAATAAAAGACCTGAAGCAGCATCGCGCCCGCTTATAATTTCAGAAGGAAATTACCATCAGCAATAAAAACCAAACAACACACAACGTCGCGCGACGCTTACTGATGGCGGAAGTTTTTGAGCAGGCATCGGGAGCGGATATCTGCTCAAAAACTCACATTAGCGGCAGTACAATGTGGTAAAAAGTACCGGCTCTAGCGTGAAATCCACAAAATTTCACTAAAATACATATATCATAATCAACAACCAAAGCTTCCAAATGGATAGCGTGATAGCAATCAGCTTGTATGTGATGTATCACGCTTCAACGGTCTCACTCAGAGCACCAGAACCCTCGCTGGGGGTGCTCCCACAGCCCAAATCCATATCCCCATGCTGTGAGATCAAAATCAATCCATCAATAATCCATAACAACAACAAACACCAGCCCGGGCGATCTTTCCCCAAAACCGTAAAACCCCAAATTTTCCCAAAAATCGCAAAACCCAATTCTATCCTCAATTTACTTTTTCTAAACACCCCGAGTATAATCCACATACATTATATCAAACACAAAACAACAATCATTAAAATTTACATTCACTCAAATCTTGCATTAAAATCTAAAACATTTTCATTTAAAACGAGGGAAAAATCAAGATACACTTATCTCTTATACTTAGCTGGCCAGCTGACATTCATAAAAATATGCATACTCACACACAATTTCTCAATTCCCGACTGAACTAAACAACCACTTTCACAATCAAATCAAAATATTCATCTATTAAAGTTAATAATCATCTATTAACCCCAATTTTCTCTTTTCGCGTCGTATTCTCTCATACGCGAATTATTTCCTTTAATTCCTTGAATCCCTCACAAGGACATCTTTTTTTTTTCTCAACATCTTTTTCCCCAATATCATTTTATCCCAACATTATTCTCAACGGTTATAAAGTATCGCCCAGTGCTCTCTGAGTGATGGAAAAGAAACACCAAAGTACAAACCAACGTCTCTACACTTGCTGTTAAACCGCCCTATTCTATCTCTATCTTCTAATTATTCATAACATTCTTTACCCAAATCCTATTCGTATTTTCTTCTCATTTTTTTTTCATTTTAAGCGTACTCCTTTTATGACACTATTTCAAAATCTAATTATTATATATTTTCTATTTATAACTGCATTTACCTATCTCTATCAACCAATATTCTTAATATAATTCGTCTGATCGCGCCTGCATGCAAAATCAAATATAATTTTTTTTTCTAATGAATACTTAAACCAATTTATAAATGTTATTTTTTCCTAAGATTAATTTACTTAAACGAAGAAAACTTAATAAATAAATATAAAGAAACAACAAAATAAAATCATACGCATTGTTATTTAAATATTAAAGCAAATATTTAAATTAACAAATATCAAATTATTCAAAGTACTTAATCTATGAGCTATTCTGTAACTTGCCCTTTTTTCCACTTTATTTTGTAATCCATCTTGCTCATACAATTTGCTACCTATGCATTTACTACCTTCTTTTTGACCTATATATTCTTACTATTCTTACTCTATTCTATATATTACTATTCTTACTCTATTATGGGGTGTACATTAATTGTATAAAGAGAAAAAAAAACAAACAGTCTATAAATAAGTAATTATTTTATATAATAAATCTCGTGAAAAACAAAAAGCAACAGGAGTAATAAATAACAATTATATCAAAACTAATCTTACAGTTATTATAAAACATTTGTAAACCGAATCGAGCATTGAACAAAAAAAAAAAACAATAGTATACAATCTAACTATTTGATCTATGTGTTAGTTATACGGTAACTCGCCATTATTGTTTTTCATCTACTTTCTCCTACTTTTGCCTATCTTTTTCGTAAATCCTAGCGACTTATGCATTCTTCCTTTTCGCTTATTAGGCTTTTTTTGCATTTCTATACCTCCCTCTAGTCCTACTTGCATTCTATTTGTCCCTTTGTCGCATTGCATTCGTCTTCCCTTACGTGTTGTACACGCCCCTTTTGCCGAATAATAGTTCCGTCTCACATGGACGGACGCGCTCGCAAATTTATCTAACTAAGTATTACTACGTATCTATTAATTATCTCCTATTTACGATTATGATCTTACTGAATTATTATTATCCTTAATCCTTTATTCCTATCTATCTTATCTATATTTGACTAAACATGTGACTGCCGTCTTGTTGCGCTAATGGAATAATTGCAAAATAACATAACCGGTTGAATGAAAGGGACGAGAAACCTATGATTTTTTAACTGAAGACAATAAAATTTATTCGACGTTTCCTTTATCCATCTTTTCTACCGCGAAAACTAAATATCAATCATTAAGTACTAAACACAAACAATTCAACAATAATTCAAAAAAAATTAATAATAAAAACAGCATCAAAATTTTTTTTAACAGTAACACCATAAAAAAAAACTATCAAATATAAAAATTAAATTTCTAATCCCATTTCACTATTGGCAGTATGAGCCGTATCGACCTTGATGTCAGTGGGCTCGACTGATTACAATTAGATCGGGGTGACTAAGTCCGCTCTAATTGAAAATCACCAAAGACATCCTGATCAATTCAAATGCATATCGAAAATCGGTGTCACCAAGAGCTTTCGCACTGAATTATATACAAGCTATCCAGGCGGTGGTGATCGACCTAACAAAAATTTGCCACAATTCAAATCCCTGTAAGCCGTTGTTTTCGACGCATTCCCAAACAAAATATTCGGCACCTCATATGCACGGAGGCGAATAACTCCGCAATTCTCAAAACTGCTCTAAATTTTGAGATAAAACAAATCATAATAAAAATACTCTAACGCAATAGCGCAAACAAAACTAAACTGAAAAAGAAATTCGCTCGTATTTTACAAACAGCCACATGTATTCGAAAATGATTGTAAATCCCTGACTCAACAAAAAATATATATACACATATATATATATACAAAGACATCTTCCCTAATTTTAAAATATTTTTTTACACTACACTTAAAGCTATCTACGCAACTCAAAAATCTAGTACTTAAACCAAGAAAAAAAAAGCTTTTAGCCTGGCGTTGACATATAGGGTCCATAAGATCGCAACACGAGAACGATGTCTGGACATTTTCGAACTCACATATACTAGCCACCCGCGTTGTGGCGCCTTAAAAACGTAGGGATGAAATGTTTACACAAAAAAAAAGAGACATAAATATTATCTTGCTGCGTTACTTAAATGTCTATGATTTGAAATCGAATTCTAAGAGAAAAGGACTTCAACGATATCTTACCCTTGCAATATGATATTTTAAAATAACTTTCTTTAAAATATTTACGACTATATATACAAAAAAAAAATAAACTCTACTCACAAGAACGATTTCCATGAAACAACACTTAACTGTATAACATAACTTAATGTATCTGGCAATCATCATAAATTTTATATAAAAAAAAAAACAAATTATTTTATGTATTGGTGTTTATGAAAATGATTATGAATAACACAATACACTAAACAATTTCAATAATGTTCGTATTAAACAAAAATTCTAAATCTGTATAGAACAATATTTTTCTATACACTAATTATAATAATTTCGAATTTAAAATTTATATTCTAATAATCTTAATTTAAAATGATGGTAATTATAATTAACCTAGGAAACACGTATCTAATAGTACACGAACAAAAGCCTTTCCCAAAAAATCGAAATAAAACAAACCGCGCGACTGAACAAAAAGAAACATTAACGAACAAAAATACAAATACAATAAATAGATTCAGCATTTCAAAATTATTATAAAACAACCTTTAAATTTTACGAATTAAATAGATTTTCAAAATCAAAATTCTAACAATTACTTGAACTACTTGATTATTCGTTTTTGCGCCAACCAATTTCGCAAATTACGTTTACATTAACCCCAACATACATAGAAAACCCCTTTGATCACACAACAACATTTCAATTTATATATACCGCTAAACATTATTTCAAATTGCACTATGTTTTCATAATTTTAAGTGTTCCAACAATCTTCTGTACACTCAACTATGATAACCAAGAGTTCAACAAATTTCATAAATATCAATTTAATAATAACGCGTAATCAAGAAATGCCGAATCTTCGCGAAAAAACAAATCGAAACCCGAAGAAATTGATCAATAACAAATAACAAAAAAAATAAAACGAGGAAACTGTAAACTTACACGCAAGGAAAAATAACCGCGAATGAACCAACAATAAAATTGTTTTACCGAGATCGTAATAATGCCGTCGATGGTGGATCAAATGATTACCAAAACAAATTAATACTTTTTAATCATTTGATCGTTAAACCAACGAAAAGCATACCCGGCGCTAGTCCACCATTTTGTCACGAATCCCTTTTTATTTATTGTGAAACCCTTTTATTTATTATTTATTACCCTTGATTCATGCCCTAATTTACTATGGTTGTTACATTCGCGGTCTTTCTACACCCTTACCGTGACGTCGCGATCCTGTAAGAAACTGATTACTTTAAAACTACTAATGAAAAGGCGTTTGTTCGTTACTTAATTAACAAACCTATATTTAAACATAACAATCCCTTAATCTAAACATTTCTTATTCTAACATGCAACTTATTCTAGACTTATCTTTAACCACGGCGCAACCAGTGTCCATCACATGTCCATACATCGGGCCCGATTCACATAAATCACTTAACCATCACCTTTAGGTATTTTCACTAAGTCTACTTTCTGTTTGGGGACAGTCTCCGAACGCTGTCCCCCCATGATGTCCTCTAATCTCACATTCAATACATTTTATTAACACTTTCGTGCGCTGGACCGCACGTTTGTCGACACTGAGGCCACGCCGGCAACTCTCAACCCCGACAACGACTACCTCAAGACTACGACTATTTCTAGACTACTAAAAATGCAGACAACTCTCAGCCCTCGACACACTCCTCATCAGGGACATGGTGTTTTTATGCATATAGGGAGAGGGGTAGTTGTGTGTTATTTTATAACTGTGTGTGGGTGCTTCCCCACACATTCGTAACAATATTATTTTTAATATTATATTTTCCATTCACCTAGGTCAAGCAAATAAATGGGTTAAGAATATGGAGAAGGATAACTTTCTGCGTGTCATTAAATTAACAGACTCAAATTATATGAGAGTAGTAGAAAACTCGATTATACTGGGTCAACCTGTTCTACTTGAAAATATAGGTAAACGTTATTATTCTAATGAATGTGATGATTGTGATATATAAAATATTTTAATTTTCACGTATCTTTCATTATTTTCAACTCTTTTCAACAGGGGAGGAAATAGACGCTGCCTTGAGTCCAGTTTTAGAACGAGCAGTATTTGTTCTGCGCGGCCAAACAATGTTAAAGCTGGGTGATCAAGTTATTGAATATAACAGCGCATTCAAATTTTATATCACAACAAATTTAAGAAATCCTCATTATTTACCCGAAACACAAGTCATGGTATACACCCATTCTTAAACCTATGGCCTCCTTCTTTAAAATATATCTTTATTTCATCCTTCAAACTTTTTATATTTATTTATTCATTGTTATTATATATTTTGCAAGAAATCTTTAGCCAAACTATAAAATATTCTAGGTCACTCTACTGAATTTTATGATAACTCAACAAGGCCTACAAGATCAATTACTAGGCACAGTCGTCGCTAGAGAAAGGCCAGATTTGCAAGCAAAGAAAACTCAGCTAGTTATCGAATCAGTTCAAAATAAAGATATGCTACAAAATATTGAGGAACAGATTTTAAAGGTTTTTGATTTACTCTAAATTTTTGTTACGTTTAATAACGTGATTCAAAATAAATTGATTATTTAGGTGTTGTCTACGTCTCAAGGCAATATTTTAGAAGATGAAACAGCAATTAAAATTTTATCATCTAGTAAAATATTATCTGAAGAAATTCAAGCAAAACAAGAGGTTTGAATTCTTTAAATTAATTTTTCTGGTAAATATAAATAAACTATGCAACATATCTATTATAGATCGCAGCAGTTACTGAAAAAGAAATAGATTATGCTCGAAATCAATACACATCCGTATCAACCCATTCTGCAAATCTATTTTTTTGCCTGACAGAGTTGGCAAACATTGATCCAATGTACCAATATTCTTTAACATGGTTCTTACATTTATTCAATCAAGCTATCACAAACTCGGAAGAAAGTTCAGTTTTAGAATTACGTTTGAGTTACCTGAATAACTACTTTACAATGAGTATATACCGAAATGTCTGCAGAAGTTTATTTGAAAAAGATAAACTAACGTTTTCTTTTGTGCTGTGCGTTGGCATTATGCGATCTAAGGTAAATTAAATTTAATTAAAAAATATTGCAATATTTTTAAATTATGTAATTTCAGAATTTAGTGGAAGAAGATTTATGGGCATTTCTACTCACAGGCGGAGTTGCCTTGGATAATCCATATCCAAATCCTGCCCCAGAGTGGTTAACTGAAAGAGCCTGGTCAGAAATTGTCCGCTCCACGCCTTTAACTCAGTAATTGTTTTATATCTATTATGGTTATGAAAGATTTGACCAAGTCGTTTACAAATTAACTAAAGAACTAATATTTCTACAAGAATGATATTATGCCATGTTATAAAATTTAGAATATGTACTGTGGTTTGCGCGGTATAGCAGGCGCTGTCAATAATTCGGTTTGATTATTTAAAAGCATAAGTAAAACCAAGAGTGAGAGTTTTTAAATAAGTTCTATTGGCATGTAAAGCAGATAAATTATTCATTCTCTTCATTGAAGGCCAAAAGTTTCTATCTCAAATAATATTAATGACATTAACTATATTGTGAAAATTTTTGTAAGCTAACGTTAATGTATTTTATTTCATCACAGTTTAGGCGCATATCGAAATAGCGTTGCTACAAATGTGAAAGCTTGGTACCAATATTACAATTTATCAAATCCTCATGAGGTACAATTTCCTGCACCTATGCACGATCTTCCAGGATTGGCTAGGCTGGTGGCTCTAAGATGTATCAGGCCTGATAAAATTGTACCAGCAGTACAGGTAAAGATTTCTACAGATAACCTTATTCCCAAAAAGCTATTTATGTCAAAATTAGTTTTGATATTTTTCGCATAAATAATTAAACTTTATAATAAATGACACAAAAAATTGTTTTAAAGAATTTTATAGTGGAGTATATGGGAAGATCATTCGTCGAACCTCCGGTATTTGATTTAGTTTCTTCATACCACGACAGTAGTCCGAGTACTCCTTTATTGTTTGTGTTGAGTCCAGGATCAGACCCAATGGCCGGGCTGATGAAATTTGCTTTAGACATGGGAATCGAAGGGGAAGCTTTGCAGACAATTTCATTAGGTAAACTTTTAGTCATGCTATTCCACCAATAAATGATTGAAATTATAATAATATCTAGTTATATTAATATAATTCAAAAAAAAATCTTTTGCTTCATCCCTATTACTTATATCAGTAATATAATACAGTTATAGTTGCTAACGTACATATTTAAACTATTTTTGATTTCAGGACAAGGGCAAGGGCCAATAGCATATTCCATGATAACAAAGGGTTTATCTGAAGGCCATTGGGTAGTTTTGCAAAATTGCCATTTAGCAGAAAGTTGGATGAGAGATTTGGAACGAATTTGCGCTGATGTTGTCGTACCAGAGGCAGCCCATCCGAGATTTAGGCTGTGGTTAACATCTTACCCAAGCAAAGCATTTCCAGTTTCCATATTACAGAATGGTAATAAATTGAAATTAATTCTGACTTCTGAATTGAAGTAAATGAAATTTTAAAGAATGAATAGAAATGAATTTTGCTTTAAAGAACATATTTTTCATCTTTAATATCAAATATTTTGAATAAACTAAATTCTTCCAAATATAGGAAAAGTAGCTAACTAAACTATTTATTTAATTAGTCAAGTTGGTTACAAAAATCGTGAATTGTTAAATTAAATTTCATTATAGTAATAAATTATGATTATGGAAATACTGATTTAGTTCGAAATTTTAGGCGTTAAAATGACAAATGAAGCGCCGAAAGGATTGAGACTAAATATGTTAAGGTCTTACACAACTGATCCTCTATCTAACGAGAACGTTTTTCAACAACTGTCCATTGGTAATCCATTTTTTATTCTTCATAATATCCTCCATCTATAAAATGTATGTCTACTTAATTTACAGATAAGTCCTTGGCAAAGATTATTATTCGGTTTGGTGTTTTTTCATGCTATGATTCAAGAACGAAGGCAATATGGTCCACTAGGATGGAATATTCCTTACGAATTTAACGAGAGCGATTTGAGGATATGCGTTATGCAATTACAGGTAAGCTTGTAATGAAATATTGTCAAAATCGGAAATATTGCATTTTTTCTTCATATTTTACAACTATTGTTTCTAGATGTTTTTAACAGATTATGGAGATGTTCCTTTCGATGCTCTTCTTTATTTAACAGGTAACATTTGCAATAATAAATTTATTTATTCACAATCACGTATTATCAATTAATTTTAGGAGAGTGTAATTACGGTGGCAGAGTTACAGATGATAAAGACAGAAGACTTTTAAACTCCTTGCTAGACATTGTCTATTGTCCAGATACAGTAAATAATCCCAAGTAATTTATTTGACACTAATATCTTTAATTTATATGACTATACATATATAAGGGGGCGTCGAAAATATATGAAATAATCACGTGAGGGGAGGTTTATAATAATTATGAAATATCAAAAATTTTACTATTTTTTCTCGTAACTAAAAATACACGTGATGTTTGGTGGGGGATGGGGTAATTTTGAATATCACCACGTATCACCAACAAGGAGGGGAGGTCCAATCCTTAAAAAATTAATCACGTGATTAATGGACGACCCCTAATATATAAAATATATATGATTACAAGCTTATATTATAATTGAGACAAAATACTGAATAATCAATATACAATAACAAAGCTATTGAAAATTCAACAAAAAATGTGTAGTTATTTGGAGTAGTTGCCTTTAAATCTATTTTTAATTTCAATATTATTGGAAATATTTATTAAACTAAATATAACATATTTCTTTGTTAATATAGGTATACATTTTCTCCGAGTGGGATATATAAAGTTCCAGATGATACGACAAGACAAGGATGCATTGAATATATAAAATCTTTGCCTTTAACACCTCATCCTGAAGTATTCGGTTTACATGAAAATGCTGATATTACCAAAAACAACCAGGAAACTGCCGGGGTAATTTTTATATTAATATATTAAAGGATTCACAGTAATAAACTAAAGTTTTTTAAGATTTGTTAGAGATATCCAAATCTCTTAATATTTTTTTAAAGTTTCATCTCATGTTTTACTTATCACAGATATTTAATATTTGCCCATTTCAATGATGATAATTGATTTTTCAAGTATCGAAATATACCTTTGAAATTTTCTGAATAATAGTTAGAAATTAAATAATTAGAAGTGTTTACCTATTCGAAAACAATGAAAACTTCTTATATCCCTTAATATGGAAATAGAATTCAAAAATTGATTAAGGTAGGACTTTCAGTAATTATACTATTTTCTAAACCAAATGAACTACACCACAATAAATAACACGTATCTAATAAACAACTATCGAACTATGTTCAGTAAAAATCGCAGCTAATTTATTATTTTAGAAATATGTTTTCTTAGTATTCGCTTAAAATTTTCCATCTGTCTTTTTTTACCCCATAGGCTAGGTAAAAAGGGACAGCCATCGAAAGAAAAGCTACAAATACGTTTTTAATTTTAAAGGAATTTTGCCAATGCAAGTTAAAAAATATATGAACATTTAAAACTTTACTTCACTTTATGAACATTACTCTTTTATGAATTTTCAAACATTGCCATTTAATTCCTGATAGCGACGTCGTAAGAATCAAAAATTTTCATACTTTACTTATTTTTGAGATAATGGTGATGGATCCGCGGACCTTTAAGCACCGCTCTACCCTATTAATCTTCATTAGTTTTTTCAAAAGTAACCAAAAACTATTGGTGTGTGGCATCGTGCCTTAAGGAAAATTACTGGAACTTCCCGTACCGCAACGAAATGTTTGAGGAATATTAAATGTTTATTAAACAGATTATTATAAATTCTGTAATATCGTCAAATATTTATAAGAATTATATAAACTAAATTACAAAGTTAAAATTATTCACTTAAAGTATATAAGTGAGCTTTAGAACTTTAACCAGAATTAAAACTGAAATCTGAATTATTCTCGATATTCAAAAAAAAAACGGATATATATTTCTCTCAAAAACTGCAATTTTTTGCACATTTAGCTCTGTATCTTCTAAATGGGTGGACCTGCCTTTGCCAAAAACTAATCACCACTTCTGCCAATAATAACAAATTGATTGTTTTTTAGATGATTTAAATCGGATGCTCCGTTCTCTCAAAAACTTGATTTCCATTTTCTGCACTCTTTGCTCCATAACTCCGAAACGGCAAGACCTGCCTTTGCCGAATGTTTTTTAAACCATTCAAATCGGTTGATCCGTGCGCCCGAAAACGTGAACAAAAAAAATGCGGACACACAAAACACACACCCACACATCCATTTTTTCTGAAGAATGCTAAAATGTTCAGAAACCTCTGAAACGTGAAGATATGCAAAAATTTTCATTTTCGATTTTTGGCCCATTACTATAACTACCCTACGGGAAGTTAATTATGTGCTTTTATATTCAATAAATTTTTGAATATCGCCAAGGCGGAAATGAGGGTCCAAAAACCTTAAAAATCGATCACGTGATTAATGGGCGGTCCCTTGATTATGAATATTTCTACTTTATCTCAAAAATTAGATATATCTATTCCTTATATCTACATATTCTTTGCAATTTTGCTAATTATTACGTTTTTTGCTTAATTTTAGTTATAAGAGCAACAAATGTAAATTATTATCAATACCACAATATTCTCGTATAAGTCTTAATTAGACATTTTTACATTGAGCTGAGCATTGATACGATTTTTTGAAGACACTTTTCTTAACTTTGATTTAAAAACATGTACTTAGTTAGCATCCAAACTTATTGTTGTATTATCAATTCATGTGCATGGATTTTTTTAATCAACATTATTAGTGCTGAAATAATAGTTTTCTTTTAGCATAAATGAAATGTCTGAAATTGTTGAGTGCTTTAGTCATTCCACTAATGCTAAAAGAAAACTATTATTCTTATAATATAAGTGCTCAATAATACAAAGGGATCCCTTTGTTCAAATCAAAATAACAAACACATCTGTCTTTAAGTTGTAAATTTGACATTTTGTGATTGCTTTTGAATAAATACAAGTCCAACATTGTACTGCCGTTCAATGACTATCACAAATAAGACAAGAATTCAAATATTAAGATTCTGTTTGGAATTTGAATGAATAAGTTCACTTGTATTCGTTAATAATTCATTTTTCGAATAAATTATGGCAACGGACTCCGCTCTTGAGTACGTCCATTGTCAGCCATAATTCATTTAAAAAAATAATGAAAATAAAATGTCTTACCTTTAAAGCCCTTTGAGAAATCAATTCCTTCTCCTGGTATCATTTGTTTTGGACCAATTTTGGATCTTTTCAATCGGTTTCAAAAATGTACAGTAATTTCAAAAGTTCATCCCAACGAAGATTTCACTAGATAATAGATAATAAATTATCCTATATATGTAATGTTGGATTTGTTTTGTTTCCACTGAATGATGGCGCGAATCTAACGTCAAAACGTAAAGAATAAATAAATACCCAATCACTTGTTAAAAATAATCACTATTATTCTTATTTGATTCTGATTGTTGTTATTTCATATTGCATATCATATTTTTTATTATTTTTATCACAAATAGCACTAAATTAAAAAATAAATATTAATAAACATTTTTTTAAATGTACACATATCACAAACGATTAGACCAATTGAACTGAACATAACCTCAACTCTAGACAATATTAAATGACAGGTTGTGTTGAATCTTGAAATGGTTTTTGATTAACAATATTTATTATTAAATGATGCAACTGCTCATAGTAAAAATGCATCAATGTACGTATAATTAAATTTTGACTTTTTTATTTAATTTATAAACTTGTTAAAAATATACAAATATATTTAGCTTCTCAAAGGAGTTCTTCTTACTCAAACGCAATTAACGGCGGGAGGAGGTGCTGGCGAAGGCCTATCAGTTGCAGATTTAGCGAAGGATATTCTAAATCGATTACCACCTGACTATGATGTTGAAGCAGTTTCTGAAAAATATCCTGTTATGTACTCAAACTCAATGAATACAGTTCTACGTCAGGTAATTAAAATAGCAATTTTTTTATCGTATTATTAACTCATAAGCATTCTGAACTCATAAATAAACTATAGCATATTTTAAAAATATTTGTATTATTTAGGATGAAACTTGATTTTGACTGGACATTCATGAAACTGAAAATATTCTTCAATATGCTGTTGTTTATTTAATTATTTATATTTTAGGAGTTGATAAGATTTAATCGATTGATAGTTGTGATTCGACAAACATTAATTGATGTTGGGAAAGCTGTTAAAGGACTTTTAGCTATGGTTGGTGAATTAGAGGAAGTTCACGGATCTTTGTTAACAGGACGAGTGCCAAAAACGTGGGCTTCTAAATCTTATCCCTCACTTAAACCTCTAGGTGGCTATATTAATGATTTACTGATAAGGTGACTATGTTTATAAATATGTTTATAAATAAGCAAGCAGGTTGTTAGAAAAATGTGTGTTTTAGACATATAATAGATTATCTAACTCATTGTTTCAAATATTTTAATTGAGTATTTTATTTTATTAAAAGAAACTAATCTATTATCTTTTATATATGCATTTAATAATTATTGTAAATATAAAACATTGAGAATTATCTTCTTTGTCAAGCAGTAGTAAAATAGGAATGTAGGAATATGAAGGCTGCAGTAGAAATTTGCTAGATATATATATATATATATATATATATATATATATATACACCTAAGTCTGTTTTTACACGGAGATTGGTTCCAGAAAAAAACGTGTAAAAAAGAAAACGTGTAAAAAAAGACATTGATCTTATACAAAATGGGTGATTTGTTCCTAATCTCTAAAATCTATTAAAATTAGTGAAAAACAAGAATTTTTAGGGTATTCCCCTAAATTAGTACTATTCACATTTGCTTTGACCAGTAAAAATTGTTTGTACGCGCTAAAGGGGTATTCACTTAAATCTTTAAGCTAGTGTTCGCAAACTATCGATACTATCGATGGTTTCAGACTTTTTTCTTTCATAAATACTTTTTTGTGATATGAACATACTTCGCAATAATTAAATTTGACAAAAAAATTTAAGTACATAAAATTTCAAATCGTGCTAATGGATAAAATCGTGTAAAAAATTAAAAATATTCAATTTTCAAACCGTGTTATTTCAAAACCGTGTACAAAAAGACCGTGTAAAAACAGACTTAGGTGTGTATATATATTATATATATATATATATATATATATATATATATATAAACTTCTACAACATTTATTTGTAATTTTCAGGCTAAAGTTTCTTCAGAACTGGATAGATGAAGGACCTCCTAACGTCTTTTGGTTATCAGGATTTTTCTTCACTCAATCATTTTTAACGGGCGTTTTTGCAAAACTATTCGCGTGGTAATAAGTTGCCATTGATCTGGTTGGACTTGATTTTGACGTAACAGAATATGAAACTGAATGTAAGGAAGAACCGGCAGTTGGTGTTCTAATTAATGTAAGAAGTGTTACAAACAATACTTTAATAAATAATAAGTAATATGATTAGGTTTCAATGAACCTACAAATAAATTGAATTTTTTATAACATGCAGCAAGGACAATTAAAAGAAATACATAGTGTTTATTATGACGTAAGTTACAGATAATAAAAATCAAATATTTTGCATGGATACAGTATGACTAAATTGCTACTTTTCTAAATATTGCTAGTTATTGAAATGCAAGCATTTATAAGTTTAACATATTCATTTTACTATATATAAATATTATAGGGTTTGTTTATGGAGGGAGCAAGATGGGACAGAAAACGAAAAATGCTTGGAGAATCTTTGCCAAAAATATTGTTTGATGTTATTCCTATAATGTGGTGCAAGCCTGGAGTTAAAGGGAAAAAAAGTAATATCGTTGATTATATAATGATTATGGAATTTAAAATAAAATTGATCTTTTGGTAATATTTATAATAATATATAAATTTCATTTTATTATTAGATATTTAATTAAATCTTACATTGTTTAAAAATGTATTAAGTGAGAAATTTTGTATTATTATTATTATTATTATTATTATTATATTAATAATACTGAATATATTTTTAGCTGCTAATGTCTACAATTGTCCTGTTTATAAAACAAGTGAAAGAAGAGGATTCTTTCTACAACTGGTCACTCAACTAATTTTGTAATGTTTACTGATTTT